ATATAATCATTGTATAATTGTTCAATCAAGATATAAAAATCAAATATAAGTGACAAAAAGAATACAGAGCACAGTAGATAATTTTAAAAGGGTGGAGGATTTGGGTAGGTAGTGGAGCCCAAATGTGAGATAACAAGACCATTATCATTTGTATTGTAAGTTGATCACTACTAGTATATTTACCTTTAATTGAAAGATTATTGAATCACTAGTGAAATGATGTGAAGCCCAGTAAACCAGGAGCCAAATTGATTGGCTTGAGGTTGCGAAAAGCCATATTGGCAATGGGAGATTATTACTTGGGAGGATACCCAATTATTTACAGCATGTTTTTAGTGACATGGCCACAATATGACAAATGATAGGAGTGAATTAGAGCCAGATTTCTTTAAAAGGACACACAAGGTAGGTAGAAAAAGGACCAAGAGAAATCTTTTCTTAGAATATGAAGAGTTGGTATAACATGCAAAGTTTGTAGGAATAGAACATGGAGAAGAGAGAAACATTCTTCACATTGCAGCAATGATTCAAAGTCAACAAGTTTATCAAATAAGTCATCAAATGAGATGAGAGAATCTCTTATACGAATGGTGGTTGTGAATTTACAAAAAATTTTGGGCCTTGGCCATTGAGAGCATAAATGATGAGGCCAAGATCATCCAAAGGATGATCAATGATAGCAAGTTCATCAACCATACTCTGATTGGATATATAGATATCTAGAGACAGAAGATGATCCTTTTGTAAGAGTGCCAAGACACACTTTGATAGACATATTTCTAGAATGAGACTGACTGCCATAAGCACGTTAAAGTCAAGACCAAGCCCCAATAGAAGTCGATGTGGAGAATATAACAACATAAGTATCAGTTTCGCAATAACCAAGAATTACAAGATAAAGAAGTTAATCTTGCCTAACCTAATATAAGTAGACCAGATTTGGAGTAACGGCAGCACCTTCATCACTGGTGGTAGAAGGACAAGGTATAGTGCCAGTGATATGGCCAACTAAGTCATGAGCTATAAGAAAGGAATTAAGTTGTTTTGCTGGTTAGGATAATTATTACCAGTAAGTTTTGATAGGGAGAATAAAAGAATTAAATTAGATAAGATCTTTTGGATCACAAGGTAAAGAGGAGGTTTAATAGACATTGCTAAATAAGTTGGAAGTCATGAAATGATCGAGAAAGCTATGAAGCTAGAAAAGCTTTGATACGTTATGAAAAAGAAGACAATGTGAAAAATTTATTTCAGTGCATATTCAATGTATTACAAGAGATACATATAACACAAAAAATTGATTTGAATTTTGAAAAATAATCAAAACTAATCCTAGAATAAACAAAAATAATCTATAAAATCAATGTCTAATATAATCAAATATTGATGTTAGAATTAAGTAGGAGATATTTCATCATTTAAATAAAATAATTTATAAAATATTAATATTAAATAAAATTATTCTCCAACAGAGGAAACCCATTGAACGCGGCCGGAAAACCTTGGGATTTCTTGATTATGCGGGCAAGGTATGAAATCCTTTCAATTAGGTCCTTGTCTCTAGGTAATTGTAACTAAGTCTCTAGACTCAGAGAGTTTGTAATTATGTCCCTAAACTTTTAATATTTTCAGAATTTTGCTTGAGTTCTAATAATTACAAACTAGTCCCTGAACTTTTCAGAAATAGAGATTGTTCCCTAAGCTTTTATTAACTATAGACAAATCCCTTAAACTTCCATGGTTCAAATCTAATTCTTGTTTAACATGAAAGATGATGGCACTGTTTATTGCCAGACTTAGTGTTCATTACTTGCCGGCGGTTATGCCGCCTCCTTTATTTCTTTTTCCTTCTTTCGTTCCTTTTGCCTCCTTACTTCCCGACACAGCCACCACTTTGGCATCGTACTAATATTTCATTTTGTTTCTACATATGTTCTCTGTTTTTTAGATTGCTGGGGCTTTCTGGTATCTACTTTCTGTGGAGCGTATTAACACGTGTTGGGAGCAAGCTTGTAGAGATAGCGGAAAATGTCAAAAGAAGTTCTTGTATTGTCGAAATGATGACTTGGAAGGTTACAAGGAATGGAAAGGCATTGGCGGTGAAATTATTAATAAAACCTGCTCACCTGATAATGAGGTTTCACCATATAAATATGGCATCTATGGACTGGCGTTGTCATCTGGCATCGTTGCATCTTATGATTTTGTCCCTAAATACTGCTACTGTTTGTGGTGGGCTTACAAAATTTGAGGTAAGCCACCTTTAATTTCTTTGTATTTTTCTCTCAGCTTGTCATGATCTATGGTTTGTTTTCTACTTTGGCCAAAAAAAAAAAAAAAAAAATCTTTTAATAAGACGATTAGGGTTTTATATTGCCAAAGTAAATTTATCTTTTGAGGCCAGTTGCAAATGGGCATTGCCATGGGATTTAAATCTAATGCAATAAGACACAGGGAGATCAGGGAAAACAAAAAAATAGGGTCAGGGGCTTAGAAACAAATGAGAAAAAAGGGAGAAGAAGATTGGAGAGTTAGTAGAGGGAAGAGAACTAGATAGAATAACTAGTAGGAAAATCTCAATTCAATTCAAGTTGCTTTAAATTGGTTAATCCTAATTGTATAGGCCAGGCATAAAACTTACTTTCTGAAATTAAAGATTCATAAAATATCTACTTTCCTAGCCCTTTGCTTCTTAGAATAATTCAAAACATAAATAAATATTACAAACTTCAAAAAGCAAACTAACTACTAGTATATCTGAAATTATGATCGTTTATTGATCTTCATCTTCCAATAAAACCTCCTCCTGTCTATCCATAGCTAAGATATAATAATTCACTTGAAAATGGTAATAGTGCTGCCAGAATATGACGGGCTTCCCATTCACAAGTTTTTCAACATTAGCTAGTAATATTTTGAGTTTTTCAGAAAGAGAAATATGGTTGAACTTTGAAGTTAGAGCCCCACTTGTAGACAGATCTAATGTAGAGTAAAGAACTGTGATGAAAAAAAAAAAAAAAAAAAACTTTTGTGAAAAAGGGCGAAAATTTCACTTTATCCCAATTTCATTTTATCCCCCTCAAGCATCAAGCTTTCTTACATAACCACCTTAAAGAATAGAAGTGGACACTTAACTCTCCTGAATCTAACAATACAGACCCACGAATGTTTTTCAAAACTACATCCTTGGCCCTGACTAACTTTCTAATTAACAGCTAGTGTCCCACACTACAACTATGATAAGATTCTAGTGCGATGTTCTTTTGAATACATGCTTCTTTTCTATCCAGTGTCTTCTTTAACATGCATGCTGTGGAGCATGTCATTAGCGCTAGTTTGTCTTATAGCCTTTAATTTTTCATAGTTCCATCAGTTTGATGTATTCCAATTTACGTTTTGCAGTACAATTGGACAGGGTCTGGAAACCAGCACTTATCCCTTAGAAGTCATGTTTTCCATAGCTGTAGCTATATTTGGACTCATCCTCTTCGCACTTCTGATAGGAAATATGCAGGTTCGTGCACTTCTATGGGGTCATAGATGTCCACCGATATTGGAATTGTTTGATTTAATCCAAGCAAGTTTGTGGTGGTTTAATAGTTTGATATTTCATTGAGAAAAAGTTATTATTGGAGTTAACCCTCATCTTTATGCATGTGGTCATCCAACCCTTGCTTTTTGATAAGTTCGAATAAACCTGTTTATAGTTTTTTCACGTTGTTTTAGTCGCCGAACGCGGTTTAGCGACGACGACGTTTCCTTTGGAGATCCATAAAAGAATGATTTTAAGTTGGTATTACTCGCAGTCATCACTCTTTTCCAAAGGACGCCGCCCCGCGCCCGGGGGGGTGGGGGGTTGTTGTCGACACCAAGTGTATTTTGAATTCAAATTAATGAGGAAATAAGAAAGGTATATTTCTTTCAAATACTATAAAGTGACAAGCATGGGAAAGGGGAACTCCTTCCTTATTAAGAAGAGGTCTTCTATTTTCATTTCATTTGAATATATAAAGTTGCACCACACCGTCAGTTGACCATAAATAGCTATTTGCATTTAAGTCTGGATGAATATGAATACCACTACCCAATATATTATGTCAAAGTAGTCAAAATTATGCTTTCAAATTAGGACTTAAATGTTTATATTAGGATTTCAAAACTAAATACTAATATAATACTTGATTTTAAATATGCTAGAGATTTCTCCACTTACCAATTACAATAATGTTCTTTCTTAGTTATTACTGAAGCCTTAACACAGCTTTTTTAATTATTGTGCTAAAATAATATAATTATATTTTAGCTCATGTTAAATTGTAGCACCGGGACATGAAATTGATATGATGTGACAATATGGTTGACCCATGACACATACCAACTATTGGTTGAAGACTTAACCTAATTCAAGCATGATGCAATCTTTTGCATGGTCTGATGCTACTGAGCATAATTGAGGAAAGCTGCACAAACGTCTTAACCAATCCATCGGTCAGGGGGATGTTAATACTTAGATTTTTTTGTGCATATATTCAAATTGAGGAAGCTTCACTACTCAAGTAGATCTAAGGCACAATATGGTATGAAACCAACGCATGGATATGCCCTGTAAGCCTTTAGCAAGTACTGAATGTGTCTGAGTATTAATATAAGACAAAACCTCAAATGCCTTCATTTAAAAGCAATATTATCCCTAAGAGCAGTACTTTCCTCTCATAGAGAGGAGGTGTAGTCCTTACCTCACTGTAAAAGCGGAGGCCACTGCTATGAGGGGATAGCATCGAAACTTCTACCCACAAGTCATTGTTAACTTTTTATTAGAAACAAACCATGAAAAGAAAGGTATTATTTTTATCAGTTTGCTCTTCTAAGTAATTTATTTAGTCCCGTTCTGTCAATGCTTCCTAACTAGCCCGACCAAATTTTCGGTGATGCCTCAATATGGGATCTAACATTTATTGCAACAGACCTATCTTCAATCTCTAACGGTTCGGCTTGACGAGATGAGGATTAGAAGGCGTGACTCTGAGCTGTGGATGCATCATAGATTGCTTCCTCAGGAGCTAAGGGAAAGGGTTAGGCGTTATGATCAATACAAATGGCTAGAAACAAAAGGAGTAGATGAAGAGAGCCTCGTTCAGAGTCTACCTAAAGACCTTAGAAGGGACATCAAGCGGCATCTTTGTTTAAATTTGGTCAGAAGAGTAAGTATCGTTGTTTTCTTGTACTTTTAATCCATAAGCTGGGACTAGAAAACAAGACTTCAATCTTGATAGTATCTAGGTCTCCTAGCTGGCTTGTGTTTTTGTGCTTGTGCTAATCCTCAATTTCACTTTTTCAGCTCTTAATCAAATATGTGGAGGTTATTTCTTTTGACCCTTTTGATTAGTCACTTTGAGTTGTGTTGCGAATGTGCTATTCAAATGAACCTGTTAATATCAATTGAAACTTCTAGGATTTTAAATTGTTTCAATTGAATTTATACGAACTAAATTGAATTTACGGGAACTAACGTTTTTAACACTCAGATTAATATAATATTACGGACTTGGCTCATTTAATTATGAATTAATGGCCTTTGTAACACTGAGATGGATGCTGGATGGTGCGATTTGCAGGTTCCTTTATTTGCAAATTCAGATGAAATGTTGCTTGATGCCATTTGCGAGCGACTAAAACCAAGTTTATACACCGAAAATACATTCGTACTTCTAGAAGGCGACCCAGTGGACGAGATGCTTTTCATTATTCGCGGCCGCCTGGAAAGTATAACCACTGACGGGGGGAGGAGTGGATTTTTCAACCGAGGTATATTGAAAGAAAACGATTTCTGTGGGGAGGAGCTTCTGACATGGGCATTGGATCCTAAATCTGGATCCAACTTGCCACCATCTACTCGGACAGTCAAGGCTTTGACAGAGGTGGAGGCTTTTGCCTTGGAAGCGGATGAATTGAAATTCATCACCACTCAATTTAGTCGGCTTCATTCTAGGCAGGTCCAGCACACTTTCCGGTTTTACTCGCAGCAGTGGAGGACATGGGCTGCCTGCTACGTCCAAGCTGCATGGCGTCGCTATTCCAGGAGAAAAAGCAGAGAGCTTCGTCAAAATGAAGAAGAAGAAGAAGATGATGATGATGATCTGGGAGATAAGGATGATGAAGAAGAATTAACAAGAGATCCTCAGTCATCTAGCTTTGGTGCAACCATACTGGCATCACGGTTTGCAGCAAATGCTCTTCGTGGAGTTCGTAGGTTCCGTAGCCTAAAATCTGGCAAGGCCTCGGCGAAACTACAAAAGCCTCACGAGCCCGACTTTACCCAGTAGATGAAGTTGACAGCATCAACTGATATCCCACTCATTACTTTCTAATCTGCTGCGCAGCTAGAAACAGTATATGAAACCCCGGAATTTCTAATGCAAAATGGGATAGTTTAGTTACAACGTCTATTTTTATATCTGAAGGATCAGCTCTGAGAGCTACAATTTTAGTTGCTTAGTACATGTATACTTTGACTGAAGATGATCAAATATTTATACTTGGATCTTGGATTTATAACATGTGTATTAAAGAATTTTTAATCTTAATATTTAAAATTCTTCCTAACTACGTTATTTGTTCCATATTGATTGCTACTATTTACTCCATGTCATTACTTATATCATATATAAGCATTTGTGTACTACATGAGATATTGTGCAATCCTCCCACTTGCATGTACTAAAGCAAATCTAAGCATACAATCCAGAGCTGTACATATCAAATATTTACAACTATCGATTATTGCACCAACTTAATATGCTGCCAATTGGCAAGCTCTATTTCCCCTTCTCTATTGTTGAATATATCCAGCTATGCTTGCTCCAGGTCAGCAGTTTCTTCAGCTTAGCAGATTCATTGGACCACCACATCCAGAGAAGCAACGCATGGGTGAGGAATGGAATTTTCTATTCCTCACCCGCAGCGCCTCTCTTGTCAGGCATACTCAACAAATTCCATTTATTGTCGTAAAAAATTGTACAAATTATTCCTCTAGAATTTCTTTTGTAAATTCTTTTTTGTAATATAGCAAAATCAGTTTACTTAGAAGTGTAGCTCAATAATCTGTCATAGGGTTTTTTTGGTAATGAAAGGATAGCTCCATTTCAATCCCATTTCTCTCCTTCTGCTCCTCTGTTATACTTTTGCTGAAGGCTAATTTCTTCATGATGTCAGAGCTTGAGATATTATCCTTGTAATCCTGCGTTTTTCCTTTTCTTACTCTTTCCTTCACTAAATCTACTTGAGCAAGATATAAAAATGTCTGCCAACAACTCTAGCGTTTCTATTTCCACTGCTATTCCAGCCGTCCCTCTCATGAATCAGGTAACTCCTACTCTGTCACCACAATTTTCCTATAAAATTGGATGACGGGAATTTTTCTATCTGGAAAAATCTTGTCCTAATTGAGAACGGCTTAGAAAGCTTCGTTAAAGAAGAAACTACACCACCACAAGAATACTTAGATGAAGAAAGAAAGTCAAGAATTCGGAGTATCAAAGTTGGAACAAAACAAATCGGCTAATCTTGCGCTGGATGTGTTCTTCACTCACAGTTGAACCACTTGGCCTTATCATCAGCTACTCATGAATGTCTAAAGCATGGTCGACCTTAAAGTGGCAATGAGTCCGCTTCTTCAACTTGCAACCCCATATCTAGGCCTATTTCGCCAACCTAGACTGAGAGATCCAAACTTGGGACTCAACAATAACTCGACCCAGAACCCTTACCCAAATAACTTTACCAATCAAAGCCAGTCAAGCAAAGGGTTTTCACCCATTTCCAACAATGGCGACCTTCATCTTTGAAACAACACCATCAATCCACTTGGCATAGATTGGTTCTTCACTCGAGAGCAACAAATCACCTAACCTCATCCTTGGAGAATTTGAATATCTCATCAGCTTACCAAGGTAACAACCATGTTATGATAGGTAATGGGAATCTTCTATCTATTCATCATATTGGTTCTAAAACCCTCAACACTATCACAAAACTATCTTTTGACTCGTGTTCTTCGTAACCCTCAAATCACCAAAACTTAGTTAGTGTATCTAAGTTGTATCTTGATAACGATGCAATCATTCAATTTGACTCTAATTGTTTTCTGATAAGGAACCATAATCTCACCATCTTCTTTTTCGAGGGACACTTGATGGGGGTTTATACAAGTTGTCCAATGCTTTCTCCACTAGTATCGAATCAAATCAGATAGCAACTCAAAATAGGTTTTACCTGTCTACTCCTGTTTCTACTTCTTTTACCATAGTTTTCTCTACTTCAAGTAGTAATAATAATGCTGATGTCAAAGTTTGGCATGCTAGACTAGGACATCCCAAAATAAAGTTCTTTGAAAACTCTCTCATGCATGTAATTTCTCTTTGAACTATAATGAAGTTTCTGTTTGTAAAGCTTGTCTCTTATCAAAATATCACAAATTGCCATTCAATAATTTCAATTGCAGAGCTTTTGAGCTCTTTGAGTTATTGCATAGAGATCTCTAGGGACCAACTCTTATAGAGTCAACTAATGCGGTTAGATATTTTACAATTTTAATGGATGATTTTAGTAGATATACTTGGATTTACTTCTTAAGAAGTAAGGATCAAGCCTTAAATATTTTCCAAACATTCCACAAAATAGTCTACTCAATATTCCTCTCATATCAAAAGGGTGAGATCAAATTGGGGGGAGAATTCAAAATAATAACTTATTGAGTCTGTTAGGAATTCATCATGAGGAATCTTGTCCATACTCAGTTGAGCAAAATAGGAGGGTTGAATTCAAAAAAATACACATAGTCGAAGTAGGGCTAAGCCTTATGAATCACTCCTTTCTTCCAAAATAGTTCTAGCTTTTTACCGTCTTTGAAGGCACCCATTTAATCAATATGCTTCCTTCTAAACCCTTAGGAAATCAGATTCCAACTAAAATTCTGTACAAGAAGAAAGTCGATTATCATTCTCTTAAAATCTTTGGGTGCAAATGCTTTCCTTTGTCAAGAATCTATCCAGGTTGCAAATTTGAGTCAAAAACTGTTGCATGTATCTCTTTAGGCCATAGTGCATGTCACAAGGTTTTCTTTTTTTTGCGTTTAGATAACAAAACAGGGAAAATATACATGTGACATCCCAAACCAAGTTAGCATGTCTAGCCTTTGCATATGCATCATTACATGAGTTGTATACATCATAACCATTCTTTACATGTTAGAAGAAATTTGAACTTAAAGGAAATTATTTTCATTTTGTTGTTCATAAACCCTAAAAAGAGGTTGAAGAACTATTAGGAAACATCAAGTTATGAGATTAATAGGATACTAGAATTAAAATAGAAAGAAAGGGAAAATTTAGAAGGAAAAGAACCTAGAATATGAAAACAACAACAACAACAATGATAAATATGAAATATTGAACTTAGTTACATAAATTTGAGAAGTTAATTAGTGATTTAATCTAATTTAGGTCCTTAAACTTTAAGAACAATGAGGACATTAGACTAATTTGTTAGCCTCAATATTTTATATCTATTTTGATAATGACAAAACAAATTAAAATTATTATATATATATATTTATATAATGAATAATATCGATAATTTATAATATTAAGTTTATTATTTAACCACATACATTACATGTAATAGATTGTGAAACTGTCAAATTAGACATACGTGTAGTTAATTAATTATATCTTATTATAGAAAGGTCAAAAAATTATAAAATTAATTTTATATGAAACTATACTCAAATATCTTTATTTTGATATATAATTCATCATATATATTATTTTATATTAAAACAGTTTATTATATCAATATCATATATTATTTTCTGAAAAAGTCATTCTCGAAATCTACACGATATTTGTTTTAACTAGTAAAATATAACTTATAATATAAATAAAATTCTGAATTAATTTTATTTATAAAGTAGACATGCTAAGCTTTAAATGAATATATTATATGCACGTTTTACACTTATAGATTGTCAGTTATAATTTTTCAAAGTAAGTCTTTCTGCTGAGTTATACTGTCAGTAGATAAAATAAGTATAGTATAGTATTTTTATCATATCTCAAAATATAAAAGTCAAATTTGTACAAATCTAATTTTGAATGAAATTACACATAATAAGCTTTTCAACAATATATAATTTGTTATTTTTGAATACAAATTAGAATTTCTAGACAATTTTGAACTTGGCCAACAACTTTTGACAAAAGCAATTTTACACTCTGACATATTGATGAACTTTTGATCATTTCTCTCAAATGGCGCACTATAATTCAATGATTCTTTTTGCATTTGAAAACCAACTCACTCAGGAGTATCCAAGAATTTTTTAAGAATTTGTGAATGTTCGGAGCCATTTTATTTGAATTTTTGAAATAAGTCAATGTGCAGTTACTGTTGAGAAATGATTTTGTCTTTCACAAAGGCCAACGTCTCCTTGGTGTTTTTGCCTATAAAAGGAGCATAAATTGAAGGGAAAAAGACACAACAACAAGCTCTCAAAAGCCTTTTCAATCTTTCTCTAATTTTTTGTGCTATATTATTTATTACTAAATCAAAGAGTGCATAGAGGAAATTATTTTATTCTTGAGAGTGCCTCTTTGAAGTGAGATCATTTTTGTACATGAGTGGTAGCCAATCCTACTTAAGAGGAATTGCTATATTTCGACTCCATCTTCATTACAATTTGTATTGGTATTTGAAACTCACCGAATCAAAGGTTTTGTAATTGGGATTTCTTGCCTCCGCCAAGTGCAAGAGACTTAGTGAAATCTCAACTAGTTAAAGCTCGATGAGTAGACGTAGACTTGGGTAGCAAGTCGAACTATTATAAAAGAGTTTGCATCTCTTGCCTCTACTCTCTTTGCTTTACTTAAAATTGTTTTATGTATATTATTGGGTGAATTGTATTAGTTTATTTGATTCAATATTTTTTATTATTTTTAATTTTTTCACACACTTAGCTTCCGCGATAAAAACCCAATTCACCCCCCCTCTTGGGTTGCCTTTTAGGACAACAATTGGTATTAAAGCAAGGCTCTACATATTGGCCTTAAAAAGTCTTTAAGGTAAGATCATATATTATGGCAACCATTGGTACATATGGGGTTATGGAAGGTTAATCAATTACTAAACCACCTTTATTTAATGGTAGTGATTATGGTAATTGGAAAATTAGAATGACCATTTATATTCAACAAATGGATTATGAGATTTGAAATATTATTGAAGAAGGATATAAATCTCCCATGATAGTTAAAGAGAATGAACTTAT